TTTACGGATAGACAGTCTGGGACCCCAATGCTAAATCTTCCACTTATTAGCACTGTATTCATGGGAAGTGACTTAACCTCTCTCACCCTCTATTTCCTCATCTCTACTATAGAGATAACAGTAACTACCTCACAGGCTTGTCATGAGGCTCAAATGCAAGAATATATGTAAGCAACTAGCTCAATGCCTGGTATACAATGGTAACCGCTATTACTATTGTTATATGAGCTATTGATATTTTTATCTGATCCCAGATAATACTCAATAATCAAAGTTAATCTCCATCTGCTTTTTTGAACCAGGAATTACTGCTTTATCCTGGGATTACTATAAGGTCAAGATGGCAGGTGAATTTCAGTTCATATTCTGAGTCACATGGATTTCAAGTGAATGCTTGTGGGGGGTGGTTGAGATGCACTGTGCTCTGATTGACTGTGACATGTGCCAAAGGTGTGGAGCCAGGCCTGTTGTTGGTTCTAAAATTAGAATTGGTAAGCCTCTTGTAGTAGTATCACAGAGACTAACAGCTATTTTACTATTATATAATAAAGCACTGAGAAATCAAAAGAATGGGCTAAGAGCCAGAGGTCTAAGTTCTAATTTAACCCTGCAACTAACTGGTGAGAAGATCGGGATATGCTACCCAAAATTATGACACTTTGGCATGAAGATTATTTTGAGCTGAAAGCAACTGAGAAACAGCAGAAAAAGCTCTCTACCCACCCCCTATCTGGCTAAAGGCAAGGCATACATCTCCCCTTGTAAAGGTGCCCTTTGCCCCAACCCCAAACCAGGAAGAGGAGACAACCCGTATCACTAGAGATGGGCACTGACTTAAATCTGCTAAAACAAACCTTATTGAAATAACTCTTGTCTTCCATTAGTTCCCACATATATTTACCTTCCCACAATTTACTGCACCTAGAAGCCTCAAGCCATTTTCCTTTATCTTGTCACTTCTCCACGTTTATTGCCCTTTGTTAAAATGGTATATAAGTCTACAGCTCTGACGTCCTTCTTGGGGGTTTTCACTTAATATCTGTGAGGCCCCCTCCTATACATATAAAATAATCCTTTTTCTACTGGTAATCTGTCTTGTAATTTTATTTTGTGGGGCCCCAGACATGAATATAAGAGAGGAGAGAAAGAAGTTGGGTTTTTTTCTTCTCTAACACTGGGTAAGTTATTTTAATCCAGTCACTTCTCTTTCTCTGTAAAGTTGCTTTCTATTGAAGTATTGTGGTTTGCTGAGACTGATTTTTTAAAACATAAGTAAAATACGTCTAGCTATGACAGGGCCTGAGGTACACTATGGGTATTTGTTGTGATTATTTCAAAGAAAAACAAAAGCACAATGCTGTAATATGGAAGTGTAACAGTTCAATATTTTCGTCCTCATTCAAAAAGGCTGACTCTTCCTATCAATGAGGAATATATTCACAATGAGATAAAACTGCAATATTTTTGGCACTTAAAAAAATTAGCAAATGTTTAGTAATTCTTCAAGAAAGACAAGACTGTTGTGAATATGGTGGCACTTTAATAACCAAGGCACCATTTAAAAATAGCTAGAATTAATTACAGGGCTAATGACCCATTGAAAGACTTATTTAAATACCAAAGCCAGCACTGAACAATCATGGAAAATATGGCTTAAAAGGGCTTTAGAGAGCAGAAACCAGGAACCGCAGTTGAAACAAAAAACACATTCTCCTAGAACACTAGCTACTTTGGTGAGAAACATTCAGGATGTGAAAAGTCTCAGGGGAGTTCTCAGGCTGGGTAAGAGAAGCCACTAGGATCAACAGAAAGACAAGAAGATGACACTTACGGTCACCTGTTTGGAAAAGAAGGACTGCTATTTAGCATTCACCCAAAGAGCAGAACCCTTCAAAAACCATCCTCCCCCATTCATCAAGGCTTTCTCTGCCCCACGCTCACTCCCCCGCTTTTCTGATGTATCCAGCCATTTTTAATGTACCATAGGATAAAATTAAAATTTCCACAGAGAGGAAAACATATATTTTAATAAGTCTCTGTGGCTACTTTAGAGCTGCATTATCTCGAAGAGCTTCCTGTGTCTCGGTCCTCTGTGCCCTGCATCCACACCATCATCAGCCAAGGAAGAGGTGATAATCCTCAGTGTGCCCTACTTGCCAGGCAAAAGTGATGCCACTGCAGTTCTTAGCTTCTCTCTGTACCAAAATGGTCTTTCTGTACGTCAGCGTCCGGGGAGCATACCAGGTGGCCAGAGATGAAACAGTTTCATTACTACATTCAGGCCCATTGATTAAATGCATTACTCTTACTCTTATTTACTATGGCCTAGACATGTCGTTGCCTTGCTACGTTTAAAGTGTAATAAAATCAGAAGATTCCAAAGCCCTTGAGAGCTTAAGGCGAGGAGGCAGGGGAGGTAGAAGAGGGACTGAGGCACTCTCAACATATATTGGTTTCAAGGAGCAAATAAATTTTAGTATAAACTGCTGTTCACAATAATGCTTTTAAACCAGCAATTATTTATACTGTACAACTCGAGAAACCCTGTAATTATTCTGAAAGCACTTGCCAATGCCTACCCTGTTTCATAATTGCCAACACAGCCTTGTTCAAAAGTATTAGTGGTGACGTTAAAATCCTGTTTGGTACTAGGTTACTGTGTGGAAGAAAAAGTGATTGTACGATGTTGGGATATTCAAGCAAAATGGGGCCAGTAAAGGTCCCAAAGAACGAAATTGTCTTGTATTCACAGGTGGGAAGAAAAGGAAGGTGGTCATTGAAAAGGAAAAAAAAAAATTACTTGAATTGTTTTTCCTTTTTTTTTTTTTAACTATCTTCCCAAGAAATACTGCCATCCGTTGAACAAAATGACTTTAAGGAAATGTTTTTTAAACTGCTGGAAATGGTAGTAATCTGAAGGAAAAATGATAACCCACTCCTCCCTCTTCCCCACTCCTTCCTGCCCAGAATATATGTTACTACTTCTGGCCTTTCCTCTTGATATTTGTAGGTGAATCTGGTAAGTGATTGTGGAACCTTGGCTTCCACATCTCAAAACACCCATCTCTGCAGCTCACTTGACTTTTCTAACCTATTTTCTGCTGTCTCCTTCTGTTACACAAATCTCCCCCACTTGAAAGAGCAGTAGTCCCTCTACTTTCCAAAGAAGCACAGAAAGCAGAGAGATTTCTTATTCTCCATAAATGCAAAAGCTTTTGGAGCATCTGACACTTCAGGTGAGTGTTTAGGAAAAAAATGCACCCCCTCCTGGGTGTCTCTCTCCTCTTTATTTCAAGCTCTCTCTTCTAATAAACCCACCCAGTTGTGGACGAGGGGATCTGTGTTCTCCATCGGCAAATGGAAATACATCCTAAATATACCCTCAAAATTGAGGGTGCTGTGCAAAGTTTCATAAATAGAAACAGGGAGGAGAAAAACCCGGCATGACAACTTCCGAATTTAAGCCATTTATTCTCACCTCCACCCCATTTCCATCCCGCCTCTTCTCTTTTATGAACACGTCATGTAAAAGCGGAAAACTAAGGCAGTTTCCTAAAATAAATTTTGTATCACTTGTCTAAATATTTTAGGGAAGAGTTTCTATTCCAACTGTCCCGGCTACTTTCCCAGTTCTCAGGTTCACTCTGCAGGTGAAGATAGAGCCATTGACCGGTGAGCATGCCTGTGGACCGTAACCCAAAGGTGGCACCTTCTGTGATAAAAAGAGGTATAACCCTGTTTCACGGGTCTATTGGCCACGAATGAGATCCTATATGCCTGGAAGTTCATGGCTTTCCCCCTCTCTTCATCGTTTCAGGTTCTGCTGGAGGCTCGTCTTTGATTCAAACCTCACTTCCTCCTAAAAGCCTTCATAAAGGAAGAAACCTTGAAAATTACAATAGATGTTCCCCCTCACCCTTCATGTAACCAGTTTGTACGCCCGTATCTTCCTTTTGCGAAGATGGTGGCTTGCTATTTTCCCTCCAGGAACATTTGTTGGTCCACCCCAATACAATGATAAAGGACAAAGAAAAGATTTATCAGAGCATGTATTTACGCATAGCCCATCCCCAAATGCTTGAATAAGCACCCAGGAAAGTACTGTTGACATAGCCGACTCCCACTGTCTAATTTAATCCCACTGCTACTGGATGTGTCGTCTTCTCCTTTTGTTCTAAAGAAACTCGTTCTACTACTATTTGCTGGCAGGAATAATTTTCTGCCACCTGTAGTACTCTTTGCTTCTGTGAAGGCTGAACCTCAAGTTGCTGTGAAAGAATTTGCATTATCCCTCTATAGTCATACCTAAAATTAACCCACTGTCTTAAGTTAAATAAGACCTAGAATGCTCACAACTGTTATGGTTATCGGAGAACTAGAGAGTGAGGCTTTCTGGCACTATAAGAGGATGTAGAAGATGACACATGTGGTTTGGCCTTTATTCGGAAGCAGCAAAAATCACAGAGATGGTGGTTCCAAGACAAAAAAGGCCAGGGGAGTGAACACAGAGTTTTGGCTGAGTTACTTTGTACTATTATGTAATAGTACATATTACTCAGCCTTGCATGAGTTTAAATAACCATAAAGAATTGTTATAAACTCTGAGATGGAGGCATTATAAACACTGGACATTCTGTACTTGGTCCTCCAGTTGGTCAAGTCTACTTGTATTCATAAGGAACACATTCCCTTGGGCTACAAGAGAAACATTCTGCAAACTGGAAATAGAAGTCACTTTCTGGACAGTTCTCTCAAAGAATATAATGAAGTGGATGTGAACTTGAGAAGTCTCTGTGATCATGTATTTTAGAACATCAGCAATGAAGCTCAGCGAATTAGAGCGTTGGTAAGTAATTGGGAGAGTTGCATTTCCAAACAGCTAGAGTTTTATCCATGTAAACACATGAAAACAAAGGGGGCAGTTATCATAAATATTTTTAAAGGAATATTGCTAGAATTATGACATATTCGTTTTTAGAGAATTCTGAATGAAATTTACTTTCTTGATGATAAACAGGCATCAGAAAATTTATTAGAAATTTGAAGAGCAGGATGTTGGGCCTCTGAATGGGAACCTTAGTAGTGCCAGTGACAAAGAGAGAATTAAATATGAGTGATGTTGAGAAAAGCAAGATTTTCGTCCAGAAGTGTGCCCAGTGCCACATGGTGGGAAAGGGAGGCAAACACAAGACTGGGCCACATCTCCATGGTCTCTGGACGGAGGACACATCAGTCTTTAGATTTTCTTACACAGATGCCACTAAAAACAAACGCATCACCTGGGGCGAGGATACACTGATGGACTGCTTAGAGAATCCCAAGAAGTACATCCCTAGAGTGAAAATGATCTTCACTGGCATTAGGAAAAAGGCAGAAAGGGCAGACCTGATGGCCTATCTCAAAAAAGCTAACAATGAGCATTAGCCACTGCCTTGTTTATTACAAAACAGGAACGTGTCATGACTTTTTTATGTGCCCCATAATTTAATAGATCTCATACACTAGAATTCGGATCACGATACCTGACAGAAGGAAATAGACACTTTTGTTGGGTCGTTCTGATTTAACTATGACTGGATTGTGGTTAAATGAGTATGTTCTGTGTTTCTCTGAATTTTTTTTGAGACGGAGTTTCGCTCTTGTTACCCAGGCTGGAGTGCAATGGCGCAATCTCGGCTCACTGCAACCTCTGCCTCCTGGGTTCAGGCAATTCTCCTGCCTCAGCCTCCTGAGTAGCTGGGATTACAGGCACGCGCCACCATGCCCAGCTAATTTTTTGTATTTTTAGTAGAGACGGGGTTTCACCATGTTGACCAGGATGGTCTCGATCTCTTGACCTAGTGATCCACCCGCCTCGGCCTCGTAATTCCGATTCCATAAATGCTGTCTGTTTCCCCCTTCTAAAGATATGATCGGATTTCATTAGCAATGTTCGACTTTTCATACAGACGGTGAATACCACCTTAAAACCTATTGGCAACTGGTTTTATGTTTAGATTTATATAACTGGTTCTGTGAATATATTTAAATACTGGGGAAATTCCTTCAGTGTCTTGGAACCAAGCAAAATTTACCACTATTTCCTATTCTCTTGTCTCTTAAAGGCGAGGGCTGAAAATAAGGTAGCAATGGCTACTTTCTATTTTTGGCATCATGCCAATCTAATTAGAATTCCCTGTATTTACAATGGTTCCTTTTACTTACTGAAAGGCATTTTAGTGTAGTTTATGAAATAAAAAATATTTATTTGATATTTTGGCACTTCTTTATTTGATACACACACGTTAGTATTTTTTTTAATATTATGGACTTTACAGAAGTGTGCAATATTTTTATTTATTTATTTATTTATTTATTGAGGCAGAGTTTCGCTCTTCTTACCCAGGCTGGAGTGCAATGGCGCGATCTCGGCTCACCGCAACCTCCGCCTCCTGGGTTCAGGCAATTCTCCTGCCTCAGCCTCCTGAGTAGCTGGGATTACAGGCACGCGCCACCATGCCCAGCTAATTTTTTGTATTTTTAGTAGAGATGGGGTTTCACCATGTTGACCAGGATGGTCTCGATCTCTTGACCTCGTGATCCACCCACCTCGGCCTCCCAAAGTGTTGGGATTATAGGCGTGAGCCACCGTGCCCGGCCAGCGTGCAATATTTAGAGTGATATTATACATTAAAGTGTAATACTTTAGAAGTTAAATATTTTTTATTTGATATTACACTTTGGTGTGTAGTATATCAATTATACTTTATAAATAAAAACTTATAAATAAGGCCAGGAGCGGTGGCTCACGCCTGTAATCCCAGCACTTTGGGAGGCTGAGGTGGGTGGATCCTGAGGTCAAGAGATCAAGACCATGCTGGCCAACATGGTGAAACTCCGTCTCTACTAAAAATACAAAACTTGGTCAATCGTTTGGCATGCGCCTGTAGTCCTAGCTACTTGGGAGGCTGAGGCGGAAGAATCGCTTGAACCTGGGAGGCAGAGGTTGCAGTGAGCTGAGACTGTGCCACTGTGCTCTAGCCTGGTGACAGAGCAAGACTCTGTTTCAAAAAAATAAAAATCTTATAACAAAATCTAATAAAAATCAAATAAAGAATATTTAATATTATACACCAAGGTGTAATACCAAATAAAGCTTATTTAATTCTTCTCAAAAAATTAGACACTTATGAAAAAAAGTATAAATTATATACTCTGTAATGCTCTGAAGGCCTTCTAAGATTTATGACATTTTGCCCCAACACCAAATGGCCCTGGATGTTACTGAATGTTAGCCTTTTTAATGTTTTCCTTCCTCCTCCGTTCCTTGTTTTCCTTCCTTCTGTAGTCATATGCTAGATCTTATGAGGCCCTCCCTCTACCTGTAATTAATATTTTGACTTAGAATTAGCTATGTCTTGGAACCCAACCAGATAACTAAGCTTGTGTAAAAACCAATTATAAATAGGATGTACTGGGTCTAAAGAGATTTCCTCTGAAATCGAGTGCACACACTGTAGTACTTGAACTTGGGACCCTTTTTGGCCACCTAAAGGCCCATTTGCTTACTTCCTAAATTCTCAGGTGGTTTGTGATAGAGAAGGTTGTAGGAGGACAGATTCGTCATAGGTGAGGTATTGCTGTAGTGGGAAGGCAAAAAAGATACTTGAAAGACCCTGTACTTCAAATTACCATGAGACAGATGTTGCGCAGAAATGGGACAATCACCTTTGTTATTTGCATTACGGCTTGATAATTATCACAAGTACATTCAGTTTCAGAATTTCGCATTCTCTTCTCAATGCCTTCAAATAGGTATGTTGTAAGACATGGCAAACTGAGTTCATATTTACTTAAGCAAGGCCAATTTCATGTTCCAAAAATATTTCAAGGCCAAATACACGTAACTTTATAAATCTGACCAGTTTTTTTTTCCCCTTGACTGTTTTATTCTTAACTGCCATAGCCAAGAGTTAATATAGTTGTTTTTTCTTCAAGAAGCAACGTAAATTCTAACAAGATATCTGTGAAAATGAATTTGTGATTTTAGTTCATTTTTGGATGATATCAACCAATCACTGTAGCCCACAGCTGGCAAGGCAACAAGTTTATCACAGCAACTCCTTATTTCCTTCCCTGTGAGACTGTGTTACATTTAGGTCTCTCCAGAGCATTTGACTCACTTCTTAAGGAGATTCGTGTTGAAAATTATCATAAAGCCACAAAACGCAGTCCATTTTATATTAAAATGTGTGTTTGTTTTGTTTGTGTTCTCAAGAGTGCTTTCTAAAGCAAATTCATGTGACATCAACAGGGTCAGCTTGCCCTAGTTACACCCTTACTATTTAACACAGGAACTGGGCTGCCATTCTGTTTTTATTATGCTTATACTGAATAACTGTACTCAGCCAGCTGCCCTGTCATCCCGGCACTTTAAGCCCAAGAGTTCAAAACCAGCCTGGACAACATACTGAGATCCTGCCTCAAAAAAAAAAAAAAAAAAAAAAAAAAAAAAATTAGCTTAGTGTGGTGGTGCTAGCCTGTGCCTGCCTAAAGTCTCGGCTACTGGTGGGGGAGAGGGGCCTGCAGCTGGAGGATCACTTGAGCCTGGGTCGAAGCTGCAGTGAACCGTGGTGACAGAGCAAAACCCTGAGTGATAGAGCAAGATACTGTCTCCATAAAAATAAATACATAACTGTATTCAGATGGCTTTCTTCTTCTAATGTGGCTGCTTGGGCAATTCGTCCATCTTCCCCCAGCAGCTACTGCTAATGTTTAAGTGTAATTTTAGGCTAAATTTTTGTTTAATTAAAAAAATGAAAACTTACATCAGCTAATTGAAGCAAATATAGAAAATACAGAAAAGTAAATGGAACAAAAAATAAAATATATTCATTGTCCTCACTCCAGAGATAAGCAAGTCTTTAAAAATGTACAGAAATATACACATCCGTACTCATACATGAGCACACACACTTGTTGGCAGTGATTTTTAAAAATGTAAATGTTTTTATACGTGGGAAGTTTTAACTTTAAATATTGGAGTTTTTTTTTAATATGGGAGAATGCTAAAATAATGAGGCACAACTGTGATGACAAGAAAGCAGTAACAAAAAAGTTAAACTCTTTAACTCTGAAACGAACCTAAGAATTTTATTCTGTGCTATAGAACCAGGAACACTTGGGGAAGACACTTCAACCACAAGATGGCTCTCAAGGTGTGTGGACCCTTTCCGTAACGTAATAGATTCTGAATTGCAAAATGCCAATACATTTTTTTAAAGGGTCAAGAAATACAGAAGGAAAGTACATCTCAATCTAAAACTATAACCACTGAGAAAAGAAAAACAGCTCAGAACCACATGAGTTATATGAGGTATGGAAAATGTGTCACCCCCTGAGAGAAATGAGTATGGGACTTCAGTCACGTTTCCCCCATGCAGGGGTGGTGGTGGGGGGACTATTTAACCCCATTTTGTTCCTGACTAGATGCTGCCTCCCTTATGTTTATGTTACTGGAATTCATGATACAAAGAACAATAGCTTACGGTTTACAAAACTTTTTCTGAGAAAGAGTCTCACTGTCACCCAGGCTGGAGTGCAATGGTAGGATCATAGCTAACTGCAGCCTCTACCTCCTGAGCTCACACAATCCTCCTGCCTCAATTTTTTGAGTAGCTGGGATGACAGGCATGTGCCAATATGCCCAGTTAGTTTTTAAATTTTTTGTAGAGACAGGGGTCTTGCTATGTTGCCCAGGCTGTTCTCAAACTGCTGGGCTTAAGTAAGTGTCCTGCCTCAGACTCCCGAAGTGCTGAGATCATAGGCATGAGCCACTGTGCCCAGACAGTAGCCTACATTATTTAAATACAGACTCTTGGTAAACAATTTAGGAGCTGCTTCTTATTGCTTCCTTTAAAACTTCACTTGTAACTGCTGCTAATCTGAGTTTACAAGGCCACTTGAATCTGTACTCCCAGGCAGCTATCCTCGAGTTTGGGCTCAAACAAATGCTATACTTAATCATATTTTCTGAACATTATTTAAGACTGACATGTATAAGTTGAAATTCTCCCAAAGTGAACATGGAGTCAGTCTACCAAAGGCAAACCAAACTATGGTGAATATTTAAACACTCAGACAAAAATCCCTGCTATTGAAACAAATCAAAAATATTTGCTTAGCATACACTAAGTGCAAGAAGCCGATGAAGCAAATACCAGGTGTGCCAGACAACTGCCCAGCCTTTTAGACCTGTTGGCCTAACTAGACACACCTGCAGTCTTCCACACGTAATTCTTCTTCTTGTACTTTGGCGTCAGCACACAACCATTCTAATGGTGGAGAATTTTTTTTTTTTTTTTTTTTTGAGACAGAGTTTTCCTGTTACCCAGGCTGGAGTGCAATGGCGCGATCTCGGCTCACCGCAACCTCCGCCTCCTGGGTTCAGGCAATTCTCCTGCCTCAGCCTCCTGAGTAGCTGGGA